CCTGGTCCTGCCAGGATGAGGAGCGTTCTCAGTACTTGTCATTGGCCTCAATGGAGTCGCGGCCTCCGTAGTTTCAACATAGTCGACGATCTTATCAACTAGTGCAGCAGCTGCGGCGCGGTGAACACGATCTTCTGACAAATGCGACGCCATCTGCGATGGTGGTGTTGTTTCCATGGCGTCAGGAGCTTCTCCAGAGGCTCTTGCCTTCTCTCCGGCATCCCCCACACACTCCTGCTCCCCACCAGAGGGACCACGGTCCGGTGATGATCCTTTGTTCTGGGCTACCTCCATGGCAGGTGTGTGCTTTGCTGCCTTCTTTCTGGGGGGCTTCTTCTGATGACCCTCATCCTTCGCACTCGTCTTTCCATCTGCCCGCCGAATTCGTCGCATGTTCATCTCGCTCAAGGCATCGTCGCCGCTCTTCTTTTGTGAGCTTATGCCGGGGGGCTTCTCCGGCCGGGGCAGACATCTTTGCGGTAGCCGTCGTTTTGGAGAATGAGGACTTAGTTGCTACCGGCCACTCGTTTGGTAATCCATTTTATATCTGGTTCAACCGATCCCCTCGAGATAAACCTAAGCCTGTGTATTTAGATGTTTATTCTTAACAAAATATCTTGATTTCACTAAATCCGTGCATGATCAGTTTTTAATACAAATACACAGTATAATTGTCCGATATGTTGGACCTCCAACATAGTATAGATGCTGCGACACGAAGGCAACTAGGGTATACAACGTTTATGTTGTACCCTACAACATAAGGGAGCTAAGGGGTCAAAGTCCACAGTAACGTGTGGTATCTTTCCTTTGTCACAGGGCGCCAAAGGCAACAGTAAACTACTATTTCTGACCTCATCTCAAATTGAACACTTTCTCTTGATCCATGCAGCCTTGCCGACAGCTCCGCGCTTCGCCACTCACAAAAGCTGGAGACGCAATTGCAAGCTTACAAATGTGTGGTATTAGGCTGAAGGCCGACGAGTAGAATTTCTTTGTCGGAACATGCTGATATCTCGTCTACGGTATAATACCCGCTAAAGCAGATGAATACAAAGTAAATTTTTAACTTGAGCAGCCCAAAAAGAGCTTACCGATTTCGGCGTGTGTCGAGCTGCTGTCAAACACCAGTACGACTGGACGCTCCGCATTGTACCTTGTCAGGTGGGCGTCAAAGAACTTAAGCAAAATTTTGAAGATACCCGCGTTGCTGAAACCCTTCGGCGTGCCAATCACAGACGTGTTGTATATAGAAATATTTCCAATTTCCTCACTCTAGATGCGCTGACCTAGTAAAACTAATAGGGGGCACCAGCAGCATTCACTGCTGCCACCACAGTCATGTGGAAGTGTGCTTTTGGCTCTTGGGCCCACACGTTGGTTGATCCTATCAGGGCAACCACTTTCCGAGACGATGTCTTCGGCATAAAAGACGTATCGTCCATATTATAGACTCGACTCTTGTCGAGCTTGTGCTCGATAACAAGCGGCGTCACCTCGTAGAAAAGACCGCGTACTGCCTTCGGTTCAATACGGTTGCCGACGCGGCGATCTGCTGAGCAATTCGTGGAGCGATGATCGGGTGTCTCTCAATAAAGCGACGGCACCAGACCGTCGTGAGCGTATTTTGAAGGTGCTGTGTGCTGAGTTGGCGCTGCAGGGTATACTTCGTTGGCCTTGGCAAGAATGCCGCAAGGACCAACAGGTACATCAGTCCCCTGCATATCGGCAACCCACTCTACTAATCCCGCCTCAAGCTCCGGCGGCAGAGTTTGTTTGGTGGCACGGCGGCCGCCCGCCAGAGACTTGCCTTCTCTCCGGTTACTTAGCTTTCTTAAACAACGTCCTAATAGGAATGTTTGTCATGCGCGCTACGACAGCGTATATCTCTCCTTGTTGTACTCTAGTAAGAGCTGTCTTCTGGTCTTGAACCGTGTAGGTACCTCCGCGTCGCAGCGTTATTTTTCCAGAGCCAGTCTCTTCTTCTTCTGCTTCCATGGCTTCTGTGCACGAAGTGAGTGGGGATGACAAAACGAAACACTTGTCTAAAACGGTATGTTACCAAGGAAAAGGCACGCAAAAAATGGCTATGACATCGCTAGCCAATAAATTATACAATTTGAGACTCCGTAAAACAAACTGATGCTAGTTTTTTTTTAATAATCGCCTTTACATCTGACCCTTCATTTTTCGTACTTGATTGATTTTCTCAGGAGACTAAATTTAGAGGAGGTGGCAATCGCATACACCGCCACAGCCCCAGAGAATGACACTGTAGTAGCTCGCGACGAAGAACACAGTGACTAGCGGCAGAAGAAAAGACGCCAGTGAAGATGACGAGTGGGGCCCAGACTCAGAGAATGAGTGCTCGTGTGGTAGCAAGATCCTAACAAGCGACAGTGAAATTGACGGGGATTCCAGTACTATGGCAAGTAGCATCATTTGAATGACGGAGATCTTCATGAGATCGTCACGCGTCTTATTCGAGAGGACCCCTGTGAGAAGAAGTGCCTTCTTGGAGGAGAAGGCCATGGAGTTGGAAAAGTTCCTGTGATCGCAAATGACAAGCGGGGAGAAGAAGCAGAGCTTGCCGTAAGAGTCCGGACTTAGCTGTAGTGGCCCAGGGTTCTTCGCTGCGAGTACGACGGCATCACTACGGACGCACGTCCTACTAACAACGCACATAGAGCTTTTGCCAAACCCTTCTTCGAGTTCCGAGAAGATCCAGACCTTCTACAATAAGGTCCGCCCATTTGTTCCTGAGAAGTTCCAAAATGACCCATTGTACAACCCGCCGAGCGATGAGGACACGCGCAGAGCAAAGCAGATTCAGAAAGATCGTCAGGCGGCGCTCAAATAGAAGAAAAGAGAGCGCGAAGCTGCCGCAGCAGCAGCAAAGCGTGCAAAAAGAGAATGCCGGGGAGGCTGTACAAACGGATGGACGAGATGGCCAGGGAACTGTCCCGACAGGTTGCTGACGGGAAGTCTGTGTCGCGCACCAAGAAACGCCCTCGCAAAGAAACGGGATAATCTTGCCTACTTTAGGGAGAACACGAGTACGGTTTGTCTAAGAAAAATATACATTCCATTTTTTTGAAAAGACAAAACTTCAGTACCAAATTTAACACCGAAGGAAAGATCCCTCTAGAACTTTTGCACTAAAAGCTGGCCAATTAACATACTTAAAAAAATATTCAGCAAGTCCGGGGCAGGTCGCGCTGATTCAGCAGTGCTGAATGAAAATTCAGCAGTTTTTGAGAAAAGCAAAATTTGAGACCCTCATTTTATAGTCCCGCTAATTATTATAATGGCGTGCGAAAATCGCACTTCAACAAATAGCTAGCTAAAATCAGTACTACTCTGTTCCATCTCAAATCTAACGCAACGAGCGACCGCACAAAAAAAAATGATATCATTGGCTATTATTAGGCTAAGAATAGAGATTTGCTATTTTCTAATTTGTGGCTACCAGCTACATAATACTGTACGTGTCAGCTGTGCAGATAAGCATGATGTGCTGCCGTCTGATCGCTCTAACGGCAGGCACAACAAATGTTGATGTTGTCAACATCGCTATCAAATACCAGCCAGCTAAGTCGCCCGATATGAACGTACTCGACTTGGGTCTGTTTAACTTGCTACAGTCGGCTCAATACCGCACACCAACGTACAAGATCGATGAAAAAACTTACTGTGATCTTTCTAGTAGGACTATAGATAAGTGCTTTTTGACAGCACAAAAAATACCAGAATCTGTCATTGCGTCTGATACATACTTAAAAAAAATGAAGGGCCACCAACTCAAAATTAGTATCTTTTATTTTATGATGAGCTCTTTTCTACACACCTTGTTTTATTTATTTTCACCTTAAGCGAGATCTAAAATTTGTCGGATTGTAAATACATAGATGTAATTGGTCAAAAGCGTTTTTCAGGCAAACGCGGCACAGACAGCAGCTTTTGAAGAACTATTTTCACATCTTGTAAGACCGTAACAAAATCGATCGCTTCTGAAAACCTCAGCAATTTTCCAACACTGCGAAACCAGACGTCCACCCCGTCAAAACGAATGACGCTCTTTTGCTCTGTACTTCGTTGCTGTTTGACTATATTCTACCAAAAAAATACTGCTTTATAGAGCTAAGGCAGGGCTTTCCGTAGTAGGCTCGTTTAGCTAAATCACACCATTAGTTTAGCAAATATGTCAGTAAAGGAGAAGTGTTAGATTTGAGATGGAACAGAGTGGTACGTATCTCACTGGGCAAAATAGCATTTTTGCCATCACGGGGTATCTCTTCGTCTGCACGTGGGTCTGTTAGTATCGCGCACCCTAATCTGCCACCTTCTGGACCCATGAACGGGCTGATAGCTGCACAAAATTGCTTCTTGAAGCGACCTAACAAATTGATGCGCGGGGCGACAACGAACCTCGCATGCTCTTCCTGATAAAACAGCCCGGAAAAGTGCTCAACAGCTCCTACGTGTCGCTCTCATCAGACCGAATAACGCGACATCGATTGGAGATCGACGACTGCGAATCGTCATTTCTGTGATGGACGGACAGCGCAACCTGGTCGAGATGCGGCAACAAGGGTCTGTATAACCCGTGGCTGCGTCGAGCGCTCTACTCTGGGGCTTCACGTGGCACATGCAGACGCCCCTCAAGAGCTTGCCACACGGAGCTTATGTCGTAGTGGAGTTAGCCACTACTAGCACGTCCTGGCTCACCCGCACGCGACGGCGCCTTATCCCTAATACTTGGCGCTAAGTGTACTCAATCCGGAATGCTGGACGTATCTTCAAGTTGACCAACGTACAGCGAGCAGCGCGCCGACTACTGTTGAGGTGTACAAGTACCTGGTCGACTTGTCTTCGCAGAATACACTACACCGCGCCGACGCCTTCCTCTCAGGCAAGATGTTGATCTCGCAAGCTCATACACAAGCTGTGTTACTTCATCTCTTGAATAAAACACAAAGAAATACTACGTTGCAAGATGGTTAAGTAAAAGGCATTAATCTATTATTGGAACGGGGAGAAGTAAAAAGTGTGTCCATGGGGACACATGTACTGGCCCGCTTGGCTGCCTGGAGGCATTTGCACGCGCGTGTAGCACGTGGGGCATTGGCGCATGATGGGCCTGGGTCCTGAGGTCATTGAGCCCGGTCCAGCTCCACTGAAGCTTTGACGAAGTCCTTGTGAGTTGCCCGTAGTCGGGGGCATTCGTAGCTGGAAGAGGTGGCCATTGGGACATTGCAGGGTCCCGCGAGCCGTGGTGCTTACTAGACAGCGGATCCGACACGTAGGACACTCAACCACCACGTTGCTCCTTGCCGCTGCCGCTGCTGCCGCCGCCCGAGCGCGTTCTTGAGCCGTAGGAGTATGAGCAAGCGATTGCCCGCATCCGTCGCAAAATTGTCCTCCTGAGCCTCGTTTACCGCAGTTTGTACCTGTCCACGTCCAAGAATTGTCATTAGACCAGTGTTTTGTGATAGTGTCTTATAAAACAGATCGTGTAGACTGCAACTCACAGAACGGATGCGCCTTGACGAGCCCCTCAGTCTGCTCAGGCCATTGCGTCTGCGGCTTGCGGCAGATCGGACACTTGTCCGAATTGGCCTCGTCGTGGTTTACATTCTCCAATAGACAACTGAAGTGGAAGCGGTGGCCACACTCGGCCGTGAATAGAGCGCGCCCCATCGCCAATTCGTCCAAACAGATGACGCACTCGGGGGCGTCTTCCATCACTGCTAACGGGACGCTCTTGGCGGAAGGCGCGGGTTCAGCCGACGCGGGGGCTACAGGCGCTGCACTCGGCGTGCTGTTGTCATAAGCAGCACGGTGCATTGGCCGCCGCCGCGCCTCCACGTCGCTCCATCGCCGCACACGGACAGCGGCCATGTTTGCAACTTGCTTTATGTCGGGAAGAATGACTGTCGCAATTATGATAGGAAATCCAGCTCGAATGCAAATATTTCGAAACTGTAGCTCGAATATTTGTGACTGAAAAACAGCCAAGAACGGTTACCGGTACTGGAATGAACCGGTTAGTGCGCTGTCAAAAATGCATGCCCGATGCTGCATCGTTTTACACCGTGGTCAGTAGGTCATGGTATCTAGAAAAAGGCCGAACAGCTGGGTATTCTACTCGGAATGGTTTTTTAAATCGCAAGGGTACATTATGGTATATTATTTGGTAGATCCAGTTATTACTACTACAAAGTAGTACTTTTGTAAAATCGATTGAGGTAATATTACGATATATTACTATTTGTAATGTAGTATTACGTAGTACTACAAGTACAACGTATGAGTAGTAGCAGGTAATATCGCAGGAATGCTACTGGCAAAATGTCTGAGAAGCAAACCGAAAAGATCTTTTCTTAAAAACAAAACGACATGCGAGTATGGACTCTCAAGTCTGACCGGACTGTTGCCCTTAGTGTTTCGAGCTGGCAACGCATCCATACACTCCAGTGTCCAGGAGAGAACAGTAAGCACCTTGAGGGCAGGCACCGTTGCTCACTTGAGCTACGCAAACATTGTCCGAGTCTATGCAGCCATCGTGGTCCCAGCCAACAACGCCGATGGTCTGTTCATTGCCGTTGCAACCAGTCGAAGCAGCCTCCTCAGCGCCGTCCTTGCAGCCGAAGACGCCAGTGTCGAGCCACGCACAGTGAGCTCCCGTAGGGCAGGTACCGTCAGTGTTAGCGACACACACGTTGCCTGAGGCAACACAACCGTCCTGCGACCAGCCTGCAACGGCAATACTCTCCTGACCGCTAGGACAAGTCACGGTCGCCTTGTGGTGCTTGTGGTGGTGGTGACGTTTAGCACTGGCGACGCATCCAAACACGCCAGTGTCCAGCTTTTGACAAGACGAGCCTGAAGGGCAGGCACCGTTGCTCACCTGAGCAACACAGACGTTGTCCGAGTCAATGCAGCCATCGTGGTCCCAGCCAACGACGCCGATGGTCTGTTCAGTGCCATTGCAGCCAGTCGAAGCAGCCTCCTCGGCGCCGTCCTTGCAGCCGAAGACGCCAGTGTCGAGCCACGCACAGTGAGCTCCCGTAGGGCAGGTACCGTCAGTGTTAGCGACACACACGTTGCCTGAAGCGACACAGCCGTCCTGAGACCAGCCAGCCACACCGATACTTTCCTGGCCACCGGGGCACGTTGCGTTCGACTTGTGGTGCGACTTGTGGTGGCGGTGGCGCTTGGAGCTGGCGACACAGCCGTACACACCCGTGTCCAGAAGCGAGCAGTAGGCACCCTGAGGGCAGGCACCGTTGCTCACTTGGGCAACACAGACGTTGTCCGAGTCGATGCAACCGTCGTGGTCCCAGCCGACGACGCCGATGGTCTGTTCAGTGCCATTGCAGCCAGCCCAGCTCGAAGTTTCGTTGGAAGCGCCACCGTCCGCGCATCCGTACACGCCCGTGTCCAGCATCTCGCAATGGGCACCAGACGGACAGTCACCATTGATGTTGGCAACACACACGCTGCCTGAAGCGACACAGCCGTCCTGAGACCAACCGGCCACACCGATACTTTCCTGGCCACTGGGGCACGTTGTCTTGGAGTGCACGCGCACGCGTAGGTGGGCAGCGGTCTCGGCCTGCGTCTTCGCCAGAGCCAGCGTTGCTGCGACGGCGAAAGTGGCGGTCTTGGCTCCTAGCATCTTGATGGTCTATTGCTTGACGGCAGGCAAATCAAAGAGTGGGGAGATCCTGCACTGTTGCCGCAACGGTGGATGTGTACCCATGCCTGACGAGGTGGTACGATTGGCTTGTGACACCCTACCCCGGATACGATGATTGGCTGAAACCGTCGCTTGCTACTTTGACCTGGGTTTTGTAAGGGCTGCATCTGATTTATTTGGCCACTGTTGGAGTGCAACTTCTTAGTGCCTAACAACGCTGCTCACAGCTTCAGTAACAAGCGGTGCTTCTATGAGTCATGCAGGACGATTCGTCCTCTTGATCATTTCCTTCAAAATGAATTTGCAGTGATATATGGTATGTGTCCGAGACTGGAGCTACCGGTAGTATTTATTAAAAATCTTGGCCAAGACTCTTGGCCTGATGTGAGTTGCTCACAAAGGATTTGCTGGGCATCCTTAGTTGGTAAGGATTCCTTACACCTGCTTCAAGGGCAATGTCCTGAGCATGCGCTCCGCCGAAGCCCGGAACACTCTGCCCGACGCAAATGATGCCAAGAGATTGCTTCAAATTGAATGTCGGGTCTGATTAATTTAAAGTACAGTATTAGCTGTACAGTACATGTACGTCGAACTACAGTCGTGCACCTCCAATTCTACATGGCGGACCATATTAACAGTGCCAGGGCATAAGTGCACAACGTAAAGCAAAAAACAAACGCAAATCCAGAGCACTGATATTTTATTTGTTAATTTAGTACAAAAATTACGCCAATCTTCTGCATAATATCGCGGGCGCGCAACAGCGCTTCCGGTCGCGGTAGGCGTCCGGCAAGGCGGCAACTTCCGCGGACCGCTTAGAAAATACTCTGGACGGTAGTGCGCTTTACTGCTCGGGGGGTCAAAAAGCGCTCCGTTGCCCAACGAGCAAGTTCGGCGCGAGAGCATGCAGGATCTGACTTGTGCTTCTCGCACAAAGACTGCTTTTGTGGGACATGTAGGAGGAAGAGCGATGTCCCATTGTCTTTGGCGGTAAAAATCAAAGTGTGTGTTTGTATGAAGACGTCCGATCCAAAATTTAAAATCAGATCGATGCGGCGTGTCATCCCTCGGAAAACCGTTGAGGTTAATTGCTAGGGTGGTGATGCGCAAAGGTAATTGCGCATCCGATTCGCGTAATCATAAAACCTGGCAGGGTATCGACTGATACCGGTGTCGAGTTGGAGGTGCACGACTGTACTGTACAGTAAAGTAGTACGTGTCTGTACCACCCCAATGGTACGATACTGGTACCGGTACCGTGCTTATCGCCGAAAAATGGATTCTCATTTTGTGTGCTAAAACACAACTTATTCTCACAAGAGTCTTGAGTCTTGATAACCATCACTCTTGAGTCTTGATAACCATCTGGAAATGATGGAGCAGCCTCGACGCTCGCGTGCGGCCGCGCGACTGAGCGTGACGGCTCCGGACGACGGGCCGAGCGTGGCCGTAGCCCAGGAGTGGTTCCGCGACGTGATCCTGCCGCACCGTGTCCGAGATAAGGAAGCCGGCGCTTTCCGCCTCGTGGACATGGGCGAGGATACGCCAGGCAGCGAGTTGTTCCCCGTATTCGGTACGTGGCTCAGCGATCTGTCAGCCTTCGGTATCGGACTCGGACTATACTTCCGCATGCTGCTGCAGTTAAGTCTGTTGCTCTTCATACTAGCGTGCGTATCTACGCCCAGTATCATTTACTTCCTATCATCGAGCTATTCCGGAACTTTAGGGTCCCGGAACCTCGACTTCCGAATACTGGGGACTGCCGCCTGCACGCGGGAAATGAATGCAATTGACACGAGTGCAAGCAACAACGAAATTCGCATTGTGACCATCAACGACTGTCCGTTAATCATGACCCAACTCCACGTCGACATGATCGGCTTGGGTATCTTGGCAGTCTATTGTCTGGTAGTCGCAGTGATGCAGACAAGAGACAAAGCGCACTTGGATGCATTGGAGCAGACCGCATCCGACTATTCCGTCGTGATTAAAGATCCCAACGCCAACGCGTGGGATCCGGATGAGTGGGAGCGATTCTTCGCTCAGTTCGGGAGAGTCAAGTTCGTCACGGTATGCGTGGATAATGACCGGTTGCTATCAGTGTTGGCCAAGAAAAGATACATGGAAGATATGCTCAAGATGGAGTGCGCAGATCAGGAGACAGTGCGCTTAGCATTAGAGAACGCTGCGGACCCGACACAAACAGCACCGGAGCAGTCAATTCTTCGTCGATTAAGGCAGAAAATTAGATTGGGTGGCTACGATTTAACGTACTGGAACGCAGAGCTCGATATATTACGTCGACGCATTGCGGACATCTTGCAGCATGACAACTACCGTGTTTGGTCGGTATTTATCATGTTCGAGACGGAAGAAGCGCAACGACGCTGTCTACGTGAGACGCGCATCGGGTTGTGCTCTTCGATACTGGATTGGACCAGCACGGGCTTGTCGAATCGACTTCGCTTTCGAGGCACCAATATTCTACACATTGAACAGGCCACTGAGCCATCGTCAGTACAGTGGAAGAGTGCAGGGGTATTATGGCGAAGGCGAGTGTTGCAACAGGCACTTACGATGAGTATTGTCGGTGGAATGATGACGGGTATATATTTCCTCGCGTTGTGGCAAAAAAACGACTATATTGGAGGTGAAGCCGAGCCTGATAGTAAGCGTCGTGGCAGATTATTCATCCTCGCATCCACACTGGCAGTGACCGACCTGTTCGGGTGTCGCTTTCTCAGTTACGTGGATCGACTCGAGCAGCACCAGACGAAAGAACGTCAACAGCTGTCTACACTGAACAAACTACTGCTCTTTCGTGGCTTTAATGGCGCCGTGGTGCTCTATCTGTTGATGGACTTCACGGATATTTTGTCACAGGAAAATCTACTGCAGATCCAGGCGCTGCTCATCGCGAATTTGATCGCTGCACCTGTGCTGCAACTCACGAGTCCGTTCGAGAAGTTCAATCGCTGGTATTACGGCCCCAAAGCGAAGACTCAACGCAAACTCAACTCGTATTACTCCGGCGCGTACTGGCAACTGGCGGAACGGTACACGCAAATCACGAAATCTGTGGGCATTGCGCTGTTTTTCAAGTCGCTGCTACCGACTGGTCTGCTCATTACGAGTGTATCTCTACTCGTGAACTACTGGGTGGACAAATACTGTCTCTTGCGCAAGTGGAAGACGCCTCCGAGATACGACGGCTTGCTCGCTCGAGCGTCTCGGTATCACTTGCTGCTGATGGCGTTGGTGTCTCTCATCATGATGGGGCGTTGGTATAATGGCTGGCCTTTCGATCATGCCACGCAGCGTGCGGTGGCTTCGGCACGGGAAGCAACCGTGTCGAGATACGACTCGCTTGTCAATACACTGCACATCGTGCTCCCGTTTCTACGTGACCAGTACCCGACTACAGAGCAGCACCATCTCATGGATATTCTGTACTGGATCATCCTCTCTGTCACGAGTGCTGTCGTGGCGTTTGTGCTTCTCAAGTCGCTGTACCGCAGCTGCATGCGGTACATCGTGGGGAACCTCCCAACCGGCTTCCTCGGTGGTCGTGCCCAGCAATGTGATACTCCCGCTTCGGACGTGTCGACTTTGAATGGCTACGTGCCGTCGTACGAGTCGTGGTACTCCGACTTCCCGTATCTCTCTGTACCACTTGGCACGTTTGAGCCACGTTACGTGAGCTGGAGTGGCAACCACGAAGCTTATTGTCTGGTGAATGATGTCGTGGACGACCCTCAGCTAGCGGAGAGTCTTGGCGACAAACCTCTGCAACAACTTTTCGGCGCTTGTAAACAGTACGACATGCCTGGCATGAAGATGCGAGCTGCCGTGATGTCTCTAGACTCTATTAGCTTGGTCTAAAAGCCTTTAGATAACGAGGGGGGGTATGTATTAGATTTAGTCATCTGCTACGAGCAGCAGGTCGTTAGGCCTCTTCATTCTGCTGGAATCTTCCAGCTTCACTCGAGTCAGCGTCATCCGCAGCAGACGCTACTGCGTTGTCCGTCGACGATGCTGCCGCTCCAGTTGCGAGTCGATCGGCTGCCTGCGCGAATGAATCTTGCTCTCGGTACTCGCCAATACGCTCCGTGCACCGCACCATCCAGTTGAAGAGCTTGTGTGCCGTGTCAGTCTCCAGTTTGTACATGAGCGCGTAGTTGAAGTGCGAGAGCGCAGTGACGAACAACTTGCTGGTCGAACTCAGCGACGGCTGCGAGTTGTACACGTGCAGACCTTCCACAGTCAAGTTATTGCTACCGACTGTCAGTTCACTCGGGAAGGGCGACGACGCGGCGTCCGAGCAGTCCAAGTACGACAGTGTGACGTCGTTGAGCGCGCAGTTGGCCACGGAAAGCCCCGAGTCGGTTCTGTTCTCGGCGTTGAGCATCTCGTTGACGTACATGGACTGCATCTTGAGTTCATGGCCCAGCAGCGCGCACTCCCATTCGTGGTCAGCTTTACGCGCGACGTCCCAGAAGGACATGCCGTGTGGGTCCACCCCTTCACTACTTGTAAAGACCAGGTCGGCTGGAGTTGAGTACAGACCGACAGGCGTCTCGCAGTTGTGTCCTTTAGTTTGAGGTAAGAAGGAGTCGAATAACCCTCTCTTGACTGGGTGTAAAGCCACTTGCTGTCGCATGTCACCCATGACATCCATGCGCAGTTGCAGTGGCTCAGTGCAGTCACAAAGTTTGCCTTCGTGCTTAGTCAGGCCGAACGCCATCGTCGTCGCAGCGATGATGGCTCCTTGCAGACTCACGTGCTCTTCCGTGCACCGTGCCATTGCACTACGCATACTCGCCTCGGATCCTTGAGCGAACAAGGCGAAACTTTGATTAGGAGGCGTCGGTGGAGAGCCTGCATAGTCGAGCTGGGACTCGCTCTGGATGGGCAACAAAGGCACAAAGGCGTTCGTGTCGAAGTTCATCAGTGGCTGCATCACGTACTTGGACACCGCTTCGTGCACTACGTTCATCCACGCGTTCACGTAGTGGGTTCCTTCGTACAGAGACTCGCGCAGAGGCAGCTCTTTCGGAAGGTCGTCTGACGATGAACCACTGAGTCTGGACACTGTCTGGAGGATCTCGCGGAGAATAACTGCACCCGACGTGGCATCCGACATGTAGTGGTCGGCAAACAGCAGTAGACGAGCGAATGTATTGGAAGATTTGTCTACTCGGACAACCAGGTAGAACGGGAAGTCTTTCTCGCGGTCCAGAGGCTTCTCACACTCATTTTGAACGAACTCCATCCAACGTAGACGTGGAACTGTAGAGGTGTCCAGTGCAGCATCAATGCGTTCTTGTTCAGCACGCTCCTCTTCCTCTGCAGAGCACTCGTAGACAGTAAGCAGGTTCTTCAGTTCCGAGACATCGGCAAATGGAGCGCAGATCATGACTTTCTGAGGCGAACTACCCGGTAGAACCGAAGCTCGCATCTTCGGGTGTCGATTGAATGTCTCAAGAACTGCTTGAGGCAAATGCTGCAGGAGACCGGGAATGTCGCCACGCAGAGTCGCAACATGTGCAAGCTTGGCACTAGCACAAGGATCCATGGCGAAGAACCGCTCATAGCCATAAAGCGGAACGGTTGGGTGCGTCATGGCTGACTGGTGCTGCAACTCTAAGAAAAGGAGAAATGAACAGCCTTCAAATGGAAGATGCTGTGGCTATTGATGGCGATGAATCTGGTCGACTCCAAAGCTGGAAGAAGGCTACCTCAATGTCTGAGCTCAGTACCCAACGGCTCGCATTTGCTACCGAGTCTATTGATTGGGCTTTCGGACGGGATCAAGACTTGCTCCTAACGTTTCAACCTTTGCCCCATTTCTCTCTTTGCGTCGTATGTGAATTTGATGTACCGGTAACAATTATATTTTTGTCAAATTCACTAATAATTACGCAATCATTCGACATGGCGGACGAATTGACTATCAAAGTGGTGAGCGGCACGTCCGAGAATCTGCACGTGCGTGTGGACCTGGCGTCGGCCTCGGTGCTGACGCTTAAGCAGCAGATCGAGCAGCAGAATGCGCAGCGTTTTCCCATATCTGCACAGCGTCTGATCTTCCAGGGGCAGATCCTGCAGGACGACAAGATGCTCACCGATTACCACGTGTCGGCGGGCTGTGCGCTGCACTTGACGATCACGCCCGGCGCTGTAGCGGCAGCCAACCGACAAGCAGCAGGTCTGGCACCTCCCTCACAGCTACGAACGTTCCTGCAGCAGATGCGCGACAACGAATCGCACGATCAATACGCGACTGCGGCGCGTACTCTGCAGAAGATCTGTGCCAACATTGTGGGCCATCCCAACGAGGATAAATACAGGAAGCTGAGGGTGGACAACGCAGCACTGAAAGCCAAGTTATTCGACCGAACGAGGGGACAGGATAGTGTCAAACTACTGGGCTTCCAGGACGGCGTCCAGGCGGTGAGTTGCAATTTTAAAAGGAGGGTTATAGATACGAGACTGATGAGCGTGTTGTAGGGACATTTGGTGTTGACGCCAACACCTGAGAAATGGGAGATCTTAGTGGCGTGCAAGGCTGTGGTGGACTCCGTGGTGACGTCGTTGGGCGGTGCTGCACCCGCTGCAGCTTCGTCGTTTGGGGCTCCATCGATGGGCGGACTGGGCGGGGACTTTGCATCGCAAGCTCAGACTTTGTTGCAGAATCCGGCAATGTTGCAGTCTATGGCGACTAACCCAATGGTGCAACAAATGGCCCAGCAAAACCCCATGCTGGCACAGGCACTGCAAAACCCGGCGTTGCTGGCGCAGTCCATGCAGGCGCTGCAGCAGAACCCGGCGATGATGCAACAGATGAACCAAATGATGAGCGACCCGAACGCCATGGCGCATATGCAGCAAATGATGGCAGGGGGCATGGGAGGCATGGGCGGTCTCGGTGGGTTCGGAGGTTCTCCGTTCGCCTCAGCAGCACCGTCGCCAGCAGCGGTAAACCCGTTCGCTGCCGGCTCTGGCGTGGCTAACCCTTTCGCTAGCGCTCCCACACCTGCCGCACCCGCTCCGACTCCATTTCCTGGCACTGCGTCTGCCTCTGCTGCTGCGTCGTCCGCTCCTACATCCAGTTCCGCCGCAGCCACTTCGACCGACAACGGCGACGAAGAGGACGAGATCGCCCAGGCCATCGCACGGTCGCTGCAGGATCAGTAGGACATCATAGGCAACCGTAATGTGCCAAATTGCCAACATTTGCCACCGTGGCACAGCAGTCCTTTCTCCCCTTTTATTCAGTGTCTAATCGAATTTTGACCAATCACAGCACTTCTTCGGCATGGTCGACATCGTTGGTGGCAGACGCGGATCGGACACTTTCATTTGGCTCTGCTCTGAGTTGTTGCGTGTCTCGCCGAGCTTTCCCCGTGTTTATCCCGGACAAGGAGCAACAATAGCGACGGCACTGAACCCAGCGATGGCGGCAGGGCAGCACAAGACGCCAGTGGACGGCAAGAGCAGCGTCGCCTCTTCGTCTCCCTCCAGTGGCGGCGCGCAAGCTTTTGCGCCATTGCCATTCGACGAGAGTCTCATAGCATCAGCCAGCGCCACAGAGTCGGCCACAAGCACGTCAATAACCAGTACCAAGTCCGCTGCCGATTTTTTCCTTGATCAGATCGCTGCCGTTGTCTCGGATGAGAAAAAACTCTCGGATGTGGGTGCAAATTTTCACTAATTGGCGTAAGTAAGGTACTGACTATTTGCATTTATCCGCAACAGAATATTATGGACTTGATTCCACCCGTAGAGGCTCCTGTGAGTCAAGCAGGAACGACACAACCCATGACGTCTATGAGTATGCCCCTCCAGCCTCCTCCGGGGCTTATGCTGCGTGCTTTATCGCCTCCCACCTCACTATTACCCGACTTCGGAGACGTCGCATCATTATCTCTACTTGGAGATGCAACAGTGGCAACAACAGCAACTTCAAGTGCAACAGCAACAACTGTAACCACAGCAGTAAAACGCGAACTTCCAGTCGTCAAGCCTGCCGTGACCGGTACTGTGGCAATGAGGAGGAAAGCCGAGCTGGCCACAGCAGCCAGTGTGACGCATAAGAAGCAGAAAACAGAGCCCAGTAAGCCTGACACAGTCGTCAAGGCAGCTCCAGTGTCCGTGCATCAACAGATCCAGCAACAGGCCCGGCATCTCCATAATACCAGCAACGCATTGACGGCGGCGGCTGCTGCAGCACGTGAGAAGGTGATGAAGGAGCCGCAGTCTGGAGACTTGTACGAGTGCGTAATCACAAAGCGCAATGGCGGACTGGGCCTCACTCTTGCGTGTGTGGACGACCACGTCCAGATCACAGGCCTTGCACCTGATACACCTGCTGCCAGTAGCGGCATCTGTGTGGGCGATACGTTAGTGGCCGTGTCCGGTTTACCGGTACGTGGACTCCAGTTCTCGACTGTGATTGGTCGTCTTAAGTCGACGTCACGCAACTCGGTAGTGCTCAAGCTTCGACGGAATCCGTGTACGTTTTGTGAAAATTTGTCAGGATACGTAGCTTTTTTCTTACCATTTCTTAAATTAATTCTGACAGTTCGACAGAATGCCGGCAACTCGACTGCATATCGAGGCATAAAACGACCTGGTCGAGGTGTGATTAAAGGCTCGGAAAGCAGCAACAGTGCCAATGTGTTGACAAGTAAGACGATGGCGTTGGAGTCTCGATTAGGTGGAGGACTAGGAAATGGACTGAACGGCTCAGCGACCAACAGCTTGCACAATGGCAACGCGAGTGCAGGATTAGACGAGTTGCATCGCTCCCATCAAGCAGCAACGAGTGGCTTTGCCTCGAGTCTTCATACGTTAAAATCGGAGCCCATGAACTCGACGTATTTCCCGACAGATGCGTCCGTTCTTACCATGGGAGCGACAGTATCAGGGTCTACAAGTGCTGCGGTGCCTGCTAGTGCGCTCGCGCCGTCATCGTCGCTCCCGAGTGAGGCTCCGAGTGGCTGTAGAGTTGGTGCGGAGGAGAAGGACAGGTACTACGCCGAGTGTCGTGCTCTTCGACATGAGTTAGGCAGAGCGATGGTCGCACAACGCGCTCAAAAGAGAGATACAGACACGTACACGACGCAACTTCAGGCTGTCGTGGACAAGTTCCAGCAACAAGTTGACGGACTCGCCACAGACGAGCTGGCAACGCTGCGTCAGAAGCTCGTGGAGACGAATCAGACACTTGCGAAGCAGCAGACGGAGATACTGGCACTACAAGAGCGCGAGACACGACATGCTCTGCCAGAAGCACAGCGAGTGAAGTGGCAGATGGTGTCGCGCATGCGGAAGAGTGTGCTTCAGATCGACTGTAAAGCAGCGTGTAAAGTGGTAAAGAAGACGGCGTCTTTGAGCTTTGAAGAGCGGATCGAAGGTGTGCGTGCAAGTGCCTTCGTATCGCTAGTCGGACAGAGCAACGTAAAGTCGGAAACGTCGACGATCGAGCTGGATCTTGACGCCAAGACATGCACAGAGGTAAGCGCTTGTTGTCTTGGAAGGATTATTACTAAGAGGTAAAGAGTACTGACTTGTTGTTGCTGGCAGTTGTTGGGCTGGAATCTGCGAGAAAGTGTGGTCCAAGCTGGAGCAACGTACACTGTGAGTGTGGCCGACACAGTTCACATCAAGTACACGCGAGCTGAAGAAGTACTCGTCGTCTCGTGGACTTTGTGTGTGAAGGACAAGAAGTGATAGACCAAAAGCCCCCAAAAGTTAGGAACAGTGTTCAGTCTTTATTTTTTTCTATTCATTGATGGTCAAAGGACTGCATCGGCACAGGTGACAGAGGATGAGAAGTCTGCAGGAACGGTACGTCCAGGACATGTTCGTTGACGATCGTCATGATGCGTTCCACCGCTTCGACAGCGTTCTCCTCGGTTGAACTCTCGTGTTGGATAGCGCCGTCCATGAGCAACACGTAGGCGCGTACGAATTGCTGTCGAATGTACTTGTCACGAGAACCTTTGAGCACATGAGCCACGTCGTAGCCCACTTCGAACGGATCTTCGATGCTTAAGCGTGTGGTGAAGCGCCATTGACACGTGTGGCGCTTGTCGTCTTTAGTCACCGTCCCGGCATCCGGACGACGCACACTCACGACGTCTCGCGTGGCGTCGAACTGCAGCCCGTAGTAGCGTAGGAAACCCAGCAACAACTCGCCTACTGTCTGTGTGTTACGTGAGCAGTATTCCCGCAAGACAGCGAGCTTTTCCTTGGGTTCTTGGAACGCGAACGGGTCGTAGAAGTACGTGTCGATGCCGCTCTTGCCGTCGGATGGATCCAATTCTTCACTGGGGCCTCGACTTAACACAGTTGGTAGCGGTTCACTCGGCAACTCGGGCCAATTGGGAGGTAACGCTTGCAAGACTGGCAACACAGGAGGATCTTGACGTTGGAGGAAGTGGATGAGCAGTAGTAAGTACCCGTACGACGACAAAGTGCCCTCCGCAGCACAATTCATCCGTCTCTGCTTTACAAACTGCTTGAGCACATACGCCAACATACGCACGCGTGGGTCGGCACTAGCATAGGCACGTAGCAGCGACGTGTTGCGTTGCGCTAGTCGGTTCTCCACGCACAAGTCGCACTCGATACCCGACGCACGCGACACGAACATGACGATCGGAATACGCGCCGTCAACCGCGTCGTGTCCACCGACGTGAAGAGATCCGGACGCGCTTCCAAGCAAGCCACAACTTCCATCAACATACGCTGCTTGTCCTCCACTGTGGGGGTCGCTACTTCCGGTAACACTAAGCACATGTCCATGTCGCTATGTTCGTTGCCAAACTCGTTCGCTGACGACCCGAAAACGTCCAACTCGCACGTGAACGAAAGCTTCGAGATGACTTCAGCATGTAATTGGTCATAAATCGACTGGCGCGACGCTCGGAACGTCGTGCGGTCCGGCATCAACACAGCAGCTTCTCGTTCCACCCATTGAGTCAACGCACGGGTGACAAACTCACAACTGTGGAGCACGCCGTCTTCGGATCCCATCTCAATAGGTGCAAACCCAAAGTGTTCAAGCCAGAAGGCACAGCGATCCGCACTATTCGCAAAGTAGAGGCCGCTGACTTGACAAAACCGTTCACGTTGAATCCGAGCGATGTCCGCTAGTTGGTCGTCCGCTACGAGTTCTCGGACGTATTTATTGGCTTCGATCGCGTTCAATACATTGCGCAAGGTGCCGTGGAAAGTCTCCATTGGATGTGGGATCGTCTCAGTGGCTGTAAAAGACCGCGCGATGTCCTCTGCGCGACGTTCAAGTAATCCAAGACAGGCTTCCAATAGATCTCCCAATAGAGCGTGGCCGTGTAGAAACACCGTCTCCACTTGATCCACCAGTCTCATCAACGCGAGAAGCGCACTCAGCACTAAGCCAGCGTCTCCGTCCACCACGCCTTGCTGGAATTTGTCGTGTGTGGCACGCAACGTGTCGATAAAGTGGCTGTACTCCAGACAAACCTTGAGTCGATTACTACGCGCGATCGTGACGTTCGAGTACGAGACTTTGCCGTGATGATGCGAGTCGTGATGGTCGTCACCTGGTCGTTTCCCGCTCTGATGGCCATGACTTTTGTCTTCAAAGACACGGAACTCAAACTCCCCGGGTGAACGAGGCGCGCGGAAGGTGATGCGCGTGTTCAGGTATCGGTAGTTTCGGTGTAGTTTGTTCTCGAAGAGGACTTGTTTCACGAAGATTGGCTTGTCGTTGGTGGGTTGTCCGAGACGAAAGAGTCCCACAAGTAACACGCGCCCGACGACGCATTCTTCGGCTAAGAGAGAGACTTGCACCTTGATGTTATCGTTGGGTTTCGTTACTTCAGGCGACACGTGGATCGAATTGCCTTGACCTCCAGATAGTGAACTGGGGGCTGAGTTATCTCGATGTAGCAGCGGAGATTTGGCGGGAGAACGACGTGTACGTGACGGTGTGGAGCTTCTCGAGTGAGGGCCTCGACTAGGTGACATGGTAGGTGCTAGCCCCCCATGTGAGGAAGTATTACTCGGACTGGATGCGGGGAAACCTGGAAACCCTCCTTGACTTGGAATAGTCCCATTAAGAGGGAATAGCTCACGACCCCCTAAGTTAGAATTATTCCCATTGAGAAGACCCAATAAATCACTCCCTGACTGTGCCAAAGGTTGGCGTTGATGCTGCTGTGGAGGCTGGAATAGTAATCGGTCGCTGGGAGGCTTCGGGTGTTGGTACAGTGCAGCCATTTGAGCATTCATCTGGTCTCGTAGTGACGCTGTTGACGGTGACGCAGACGAGAGACTTGCAGAGGAATCTCCCCATTCATTGCCTCCTAAGACACCACGTTCATTGCCCAGCATTCCTCCGCCTAAGTCCAGATTGAGCATAGCGTCCGAGAGATCGAATCCACGTCTGTCCGAGACTGATTGTCCCATTGGTTCACCTCCAAGACTTGATGAGCCAAGACTAAAGTCATCTCTGTTCTGCTGTCCGAATTCCACGCCCCCTAGAGAAGCTAGGGAGCTTAAACCGGAGCCCATACGTATATCTTGTCGGTGGTGGAGCTGCTGCTGGTGTTGGAGGTGGTAGAGCGCACTTCCGCCCTCGTTAAGACCAGAAGATGGCGCAGGAGGAGGCGCCATGGGTAGAGGCGGCTGCTGAAGGTTCAAGCCCATGTCGAGACCCATGGAGCCACCTGAGGGAGGACCCAGACCTAAGTCGAGCCCGCCCATTTCTAGGCCGGTGCCGCCACGGAAGGGGTCGTGACTAAAGGCGCCGAGACTCTGGAAGCCTGCGGTGTCCGACTCAAATCGCCCGCCATTCAGTTTGGGTGAGCGTGGTGGCTGAGGCCACGCAGCCATTGCGACACTACAAACAGGACAGAGTAAAGTGGACGGCAGCACAGTCAATATTATGCGAATTGGAATGATTTAGAACGGACAGGAAGAGCATGAAGCGGCGCACATGATACATATACGTACATCGGTCAGGAGTGAAAGAGGAGGGAGAGAATCACACGCGAAGATGGCGACGTCCGGCCAACACACGAAGAGCGTTTGGATATGACAAGAGCGTCCGCTTGAAAGGGGGTGGTGTACGAAACACCAAATTTGGTTTTGGGTGGTGCACAAAAGGAAATATTGTAGATTGTAGGGCATACAAAAAATAAAAAAGAAATCGATCACCGAGACGGGTGTTGAAGTACAAACTTTTTCGTTAACTGTGAAATGTTTGATTGAAATGATCAACACTCACAAAGCGTGCGTTGCTCGCAACAACTTCACCATACGTGTACCTACAACGAGACCGCAATTAGCAGTCCAGTGGTGAGTGCCATCCCAACGGCATACACTTTCGTCGAAGCAACAGCGTCGCTAGTCTGTTCGCTCGTCCTTATAGCATCAGCCGAGGGTGCTGACGTGGTGGAGCTACTAGGAACACTCGTTGCAGTCGACGCGTTGGATGCAGAGGTCGTACTCGACCCGTTTGTTGTCGAGGAGCAAGCGCTGTTAGACACACAAGCAGGCACGCGGGACGGTATGCTCGTTTTCGCACATGAGCCGGTACCCGTGGACGTGTACTTCGACGAGGCGTTCGGCAGCGAGATCCTGCTGCGGTCCTGGCCGTCAAAGTTTCTGGCCTTCACGTCAGTAGCTGAGATGCAGATCGTGCCCGAGTTCTCAGCGTCCAAGTCCAGATCATCCACTGTGAGGAAAGGGGTGACCACATTGATACTCGCTTTATCATGTGCCTGGAACTGACCATCTTCACGAAGTGTGATGCTGTCGGTACTCAGCTGTAGCGTCGCACTGTTCGACAGCTCCAGCTTGAGATCTTGAAGACTCAAGGCCGAGCTCGACACGTACACGACACTCGAGTCTTTCGCTTTGATCTGAACTTCCTTGTTCGTGTTACTGGCCACCAGCACGCCGTCTTCAATGATCACTTCGGCGGTCGACTCGATCTCGACGTCGTCCACGACGTTGCTCGTAGCCAGGAAGATCTCCGTCATTAAATACCCCGTGGAGCTCGTGCTGCGACCGTCAAATTTGACTTCCAGCTCTTCATCGTCGTCATTCGAGCTCACTCGTACAGTATCAACTACGGTCTGGAAGTCTCCCGATACGTTGACGTAGCCCAAGACACCAGATGGTAAAGAGTTACTGTAGCTGACGAAAACACGGCCAGGAAGCTGCAACTTGATGGTGTCAATCTTGTCGTCTCCATCGTCCGAGTCATTGTCGTCATCGTCGTCGTTGTTGTTGTTGGGCGAGTTGGTGGCGGTGAGTGTCCATTGCTTGACGAAGCTGACGTGCTCCGTGCTCGAGTCGACACTCTCCGTCGAAGTGGACGACACGGAGAAGTCCGAGTCGGCCCCAGTACTGGTCAAGGCGACCAGCAGGAGCAGGAGAGGTAGACGTGAAAGGGAGACCATTGTCGGTTTAAGTCGGTAAAGAGTAGGTGGTTTAACCAGTAGATGGCGTTTTAAAGAATGACTTGCTTGTCGCACCGACGGTGTTCCCCATGTTCATGAGGAAGGTCGTTCTGGCGTATCACACTTCATTAATCTTACGCTCATACTGTCGCTGACAGACAGTCGTGCGGTCCCATGTTTGGCTCCCTTTGTTTTGTTTCTTAAGTGGAGGTATTCGATCAGTGAAATCCATTGTACAGGAAGCTAAGACGGACAGAAACCTGCCGACGATGCCGATTTTTTCGCTAGTTGATTCTCGCATGCGCACATGACCTCCAACCGACAGTCTCAGCCACCAAGCTGCAAGTTGATGACGCGGTTCGTAAGCAGAGTCGCACGTGGCTAATCTCCTGTACTTTGGGTTCATTCCATGGCGGCCACACGATACTCGGTGTGAATCTTTTCACTTCAACTTGGCATCTTTGTCGATTAACCTTTCGTGTTGATGTTCATGCAAACATTGGCCCACCATCATGAGTGTTTGAAAGGAGCGAGTTATTATAATTTCTTGCTACAGTATTGTCATATACAGTATGCACTGCGGTACGATGAAAAGATCAATGGCAGTATTGGAGTTTATGGTGGCTGCTTATGATAGCTCTTGGTGCTACAAGAAGTGGAGCGCACAAAAGTCTAGTACTTCCGCGGCTCAATAAAAGGAGGAAATCAATCAAACACGTCGTCATTCTGGATCGCCAACGTCTACAGCAGGAAAGCTGCAGCCGCACCGATCGCAGCGGCCGCCAACGCAGCAAGACGCGGGGAAGAAGACGCGTTCGTGTCGTCGCTGGCATCGTCATCATTGGCCGTCGCCGGTGCAGTCGTGGTCGTCGTCGTGCCAACTGTGCCCGTGGTGCCGGAACCCGACGAACCCGCGCAAGCGCTCGATACGCACGCCGGCTCGCGAGCAGGGACAGTTGACTCATCGCACGCGGCGGTGCCCGTGGACGTGTACTTGCTGGAGGCGTTGGGCATGGAAATACGGCTGGCGTCCCGGCCTTCGTAGTTGGCAGCTGTAACCGTCTGTGAGTTGATGCAGATAGTGCCGGTGTTCTGCGTCTCCAGCTCGAGCGTGGCCGTCTCGACAGACGAACCCAGCAACGAGACAGCGCCCGACCCCTGCGCGTCGATCTGAACCTCTTCAGAGGCCGACACGCTCTCAACGTTAAATTGGAGGCTGGCAGTGCCCGCGGCATCTAGCTGCAGCTGGCGAACACTCACCGCCGTGCTGGCCGCCGACACGTACACGGCACTGGAGCCGCTCGCTTCGACTTGCAACTCCGCGGTGGTGCTACTCGACACCAGGACGCCGTCCTCGACGACAACCTGGGCAGATCGCTGACTCTTGACGTCCGTCACGATGCCGCTCGAAGCCAGAAAGATCTCGGTGAGCAGGTAGCCACTGAGCGTGGTAGACGTGCTGTTACCGATACGTACGTTCAGCTCTCCGTCTCTGTCGTTGGCATCGTCGTTGTCATTGTCATCGTTGTCATTGGTGTCGTCGTTGCTGACGGTCACGGCGTCTACCACAGTCTGCGAGTCGCCCGACACATTCACGTAACCGAGCACGCCGCTCGGCAGGCCGCTCACGTAGCTCACGTAGACACGACCGGCGAGATCAAGGTCGATCGAATCGATGTTGTCGCCGGTGGCGGCGGAGTTGAGCGTCCATTGCTTAACGAAGCTCACGTGTTCCGTACTGGATGTGGTAGCCTCAGTGGTTCCCGAGGTGACGGTGAATTCGGCAGTGGCGCGAGCGGTCAAGGAAGCCGCGACGAGGAGAAGAGCTTGGAGGTTCATGCTGTCAGTAGCTTTATGGCTATGCTCGTGTGGCTGTGAGGGTCTTGCTGACTAGTTGTCGAATTTGAGAATGAGAATCGCTACGCCCGGTGCACGGATAACGGCGTGGCCGAGTGGAGTAAACAGCCTGTTATTAAAAATGTACCGGTAGACTGGAGCCAGCGAGTCTCACGCACAGTGTATCGATGTCGAGGCCCCCGAGGCGCTTTCTCTGCTCTGTTGTGTGCAATGCATTGCTGCGACAGCCGCCAGGAGGAAAATAGGTCCGCGGCTTTCCCAGATCCAGCTGAGATTGGCCGCCAATTTGGCGGGGTGTCTGTCTCGGTGCAAAGCGAAAGCGAATGGAAATCTAGAAAGTCAGCTTCTGCGATGGCATTTAGCTCGAAGGACGAAGGAGAAGACCACGCAGGCTTCTCGTTTTAAATGTGTGAAGTGCACTTGCGTGAAGTGATGAGCTTATATTACTGACTCAAAGCGTATGGACCATCACGCAGCCAAGTGATCTTTGTCAGATGTTTGCGACAAAACTGTACAGAATTAATTTGTTGATCTTGAAGATTAATTTTGCTATAGGTACAGTACACCTCTGCAAGATTACCACCGAGTCCAAGTCTTGGACTCTAACAAGAGTAGATTTTTTTTAAATTAAGAGCTCGAGGAGAAGCCGTACATTATCTATATTAATAGCTGTTCTTGAATCAAGCACTCGTTGGACAGGTCCTCACCGTGACTCACGAGATGCAGCCTGCTTATATTTACCCTCGCAGTTCCGTATAGTACCTCTCTAACCAAATCCATGGGACTGTATGAATAGCTACACCGTGAATCCTACAGTAATACAGTACACGTGCACCAACGCATGCCTTAGAGCTCCAAGAATATTGACAGTGAATATTTAAACTTGTACCCCTTCTATTTCAAGCCCCCACCGAATTGATATGACAACAACGGCTTTTGAAGGAAGAATTCTCCAGACGTAAAGTACTACTACTACTACTAGTAGTAATACATGCACATGTAGCAGTAAGATACTTCCCACCCTTCGCGGCGCGTTGCGCAGCACCAAGCTGAAACGATTTCTCATGACATGACCACCGCTAACAGTTGAGCTGCGTCTCAATTAATGTAAATAAAACCTTCCTTGAAATACGTACATCGATCTTAACAAGAAATGGTCAATGTAAAATTTGACTTAAAACGATGCAATCACTTTCCTACTGGAATTAGTTCTCTGTGGAGTCGTTGGCGTCATCGGCGTCATTGTCGTTGTCGATGCCATATAGGAGGTTGCTAAGGCGGTTGTTGGCAGCAGTCACCTTTCCAGCCCCACGGGAAGGCAGCGTCGCCTCCTCACAAACTTCCGTGCCCGTGGTGCCGTACTTCTCAGCAGCACTGGGCATGGAGATCTGGTCCTTGCCCTGAATGTCTCGCAGCGTTGCCTTCACCACCTTCGAAGAAATGCAAATCGCACCCGATGGCGCGGCATCGAGCTCCAGCTGTCCGGTCTGGACGGTGTTGGCGAGCACCGTGATGCTCGAAGAACCCTGTGCATCCATCTGCAATTCAGTGCGAGCGGCGATGCTCTTCACGTTGTATTCAATGCTAGCAGAGCCCGTCGTCTCCAAACTGAGCTGGTTCACGCTCACATCAGTCTCCGGAGATGAAACGTACACGGCACTGGAGCCGGTCGCGTCAATCTGGAGCTCAGAGCGACGCCCCTTCTTCACTAGCACACCGTCCTCGACGACGACTTTAGCCGATCGCTGGCTCTTCAGCTCCGTCACGGCATCGGGGGAAGCCAAGAAGATCTCAGTAAGCAGGTAGCCGCTGGAGGCCTGGTGGCTAAGCCAGACGTTGAGCTCTCCTCCGTCGTTGTCGTTGCCGAACAAGTCATCGAGCTCGCTTTCAACGGCGTTAAGGACATCCTTGCTAACGCTCACGGCATTGACGAGAGCGCGCGAGTCACCAGACACGTTCACGTATCCAATGACGTCGGCGGGGAGACCTTCGACGTAGCTCACGTACGCATTGCCAGCAAGACTTAGATCAATCGAGTCGATGACGTTAGTCTTATCGCCGGCGCTCAGCGTCCATTGCTTGACGAAGTTCAGGTTCTTCTTCGAGGCAGTCGCCTTCACGGTGCGGTCCGGGGTGATTTTAAAGTCAGCTGTGGCACAAGTAGCCAGCGAGGCAGCAGCGACCAGAAGGGCTTGGAAACTACTGAGCTTCATAGTGTCGGAGGGTTGGAGGACTTGTCGGCTTGCCGTTGATTTCGAGAATGAGCTTCCGTGAAAGGCTTTAAGATCGACTCAAGTGTCGAAGCAGTACATGTAATGTGGCACTGCCATGGAGCTACAATACAGTACTGGTACTGTACCTAATTGCAATCTTGTGCTGTGTTGAGAAGAGAACAATTATTGCTTTGCTGCCTGCCATTGGTGGCATTGTGGTGCTGCTTGTTGCAGTTTCACAGGATGGGCTGTTTATATGTATTGTACTTATTTTTAAGTAAAATTAATCTAAAATTCGTCCTAAAAGTGCTCTCTAATGACAAATGCAGTACTGTAGCACTGCAGGAAATTGTTTGCAACTATAATGGCAACCTTTGATATTTCTAAAAGATATAGTACTATTATCGATATTAAATATCAATCGTAGCTGTTTTAAAAGCTAGCATAATATTTTGATATTGGCTCCAAGATTTGATAAGTATTAGGAACAAGATAATATTTTTTTTATGATTCCCACGTAAGTACGTTTCTTGCCCTCTAAAGCAGCAGTAGTGATGACAGGCTTTAAAAACTGACGAGTATTTGCTCTAGTATTTCACTGTGACACAGACAAACCTGATCAAGATGGAAAACTGCAAACGGTTGCAGTTGTTTGAGAGCAAATAACATTTGTTTTTGCTATCTGCCGATAGCCTCGTCCAGACCGTGCGTCTCATAAACCTGCAGCCTGTGACGCTAGGTTAATGCGCTCAGTAGTACCAACACACCACACCAACCAGAATGATCCTGATATGAATGGTGGACTAAAATTAATTAGGCAATTTTTAAAAAATATAATATTTAATTAGCTGAAATTAAGTTGATATTGGTCTGGTAGGGGTGGCTCCCTCCCGGGAAGCTGGGCCAGCATGATGCTAGCTCAATCCGTCCGACGGATGCTTTGCGGCATTTGCCAGTCTTTCACGGGTCACTCACTCTACACACCTCTCTCTAATACTCATTCTCACCCCCAGCCAAGCAGACACGACGCACACAGGCACGACCGAAGAAACCACAGCGCTATCTCCGCCTAGGTGCGTTTATTGCCCAATCCATTGGTTTTCAACGCAAGCAGCATGAAACACTCCCCAGAGACATGTCGGCATGCAAGCTCGACATTCTCGGGTTCCAAGAAACTCGTATAGCCCAGCCGAGCGAGCAGAGACCGGTACGTACCATCTACTTACTCTCCCCGCGTCAAATCGGTGGCATGGCATAGGTTTCGCTGTTGCACCACGTCTTCGCAGATATCTTCACAAATACTGGGCCCAATATGACAGAGCTGGAGTTCTCCAACTACGTCTCCCCAAGGCTTAACGAATCAATGTTATTAATGTGTACGCCCCCCCCCCACCACCACCACCACCACAGCGGGTACACCTCCACGGAAGCTAACTGATTCTACGCAGACTTGAATACAGCTATATCCAAGCTTCCCCGACGTGACACGACAATCATCCTCAACGATTTCAATGCCAAAATCGGCCAGCGCCGCGACCACGAAAGCTTCTGAGGAGCTTAGAGTCGCGGACGCCGGAACCGCAACGGCCACATCTTTGCCTCCTTCTGCGATGCTGACAGCTTGTTTATCACAAACACATCTATCAGGAAACGTGCACGTACAATCATGACCTGGACACTACGCCTCAAGATCCACAGTATCTACAACCAAAATTGACTACATCACTTGCAACCAGCAAACCGAGCAAGTCTGTGTGAACGCACAATCATGGGGCGACACTCTCACGCCGTCAGACCACAAGCTCGTCACACTCGGCTCTGGGTTTCGCGCTCTCCAAGTACTTCGCCAGCACAGCGGGGTAAGGAACGCCAACAGCGCGGAGACACGACTCGCAGCACACCTTCTCATGCATGACTAGAAACCCCGCACGGTCTACCAGCAACAGCTCAAGGTAAACCTTATAGACATACCACACCAACCGGACACGATGAACCAACGCTGGGTAACGACCTGAAAACGCTGCACTGGAGGCGACCGCTGACACAGTTGGCTATATGCCACGAGCAACCACGTCAAAGTGGTCGACCTCGAGTTTTCCCGCCTCTCACATGACCAATAGAAGCTTTTACAGCTCATCTACAAGACCATACACAGTACATCAAGACCCTTCGAACACAGCGCAACAAGATACTCCATCAGATCCGAGAGCGCAGTAAAGCTCTTGTTGGCGCATACATCGACGAAAAGCTGAACGCCATCGAAAAGACCAACCAATCAGTCCAAGTGCTCGAAGCCACACGCGCTCTCTTCTGACAACGCTCTGAGCTAACTTCGTTATTCGATTCAGATAGCAGCTACATACTCAGCCGCAAACAAACAGGTATTCAGATCAAGAAAAAAATTCAAGACCAGTTTCTCGATACAACACGAGAGCCCATCGCTGACGACGGGCTACAGTGGCCACTGAAGAATCCAATCACCGCCGAAGACCTTGGCCGCTCGTTCCGCCGCTTACGCAACGGACGCGCTTCAGGACCCGACGCAATCCCCACCGAGCTACTCTATTACGGTTCCGATCATCTAGCAAAACCTCTCGCCGACATCATCAATCGTGGACTTAGCACCGGAGACAACATCCACCTGGACGACGGGATCCTCCTCGGACTCCCCAAGCCAAACAATCCGTCTGGCCAATGTGGTAGCCTTCGACTGATCGCTCTATTGAACAGCATCCGCAAAGTGATATCGCTGGTGGTCCTACGTCGCATCTCGCCCAAGGTCGAACAATTCCTGTCCCCTCATTCAAGTGGGTTCAGGCCCTGTCGCAGCACTGCCGATGCAGTAAGGGCTCACAGGTGGATAGCATCACGGGCCCAGAAATACAAAAACGCTTCCACATCCTCGGAATCGACCTCTCCCGTGCGTTTGACACTATCAACCGCGACCAACTTCTCTCCACGCTAAAGTCCATCCTCGACGACGACGAACTTCGCCTAATCCGCCTACCGCTCCGGAACACACAATTGTCTATCCGGCTCGACAGCCACCTGCTCTCACCATTTGAGAGCTACACATGTACACCCCAAGGCGACTCACTTTCACCCGTTCTTTTTGTTGTATATCTTTGAAACAGCTTTACGCGATCTGGCCTGCCAGCTCAGCATTACCCATTATCTCATGACATAAATCGGGATATTCTGTTTTTGTCGCTGGTGTGTCAGACCAAGTTCGTTGTTTTCCATCCTACGAGTCTGTTTATACAGTCGCAGCAGCAATGGGATATCATCGCCTCGGCCTTAAGCAGCCTGTTTGAGACGTACAAGGCGGTGACTGGTGTATATCCTGAGATCCCGTACTACAAGGAGAATGCTGATAAGGCACCGTTAAATGCTGTCACAAACGTGACAACAGAGAAGATCAGTACTCGCACAGTGTCCACCTATTTGATGTATTTATTTACCACGTCGTTAAGAAAGTGGCAGATCACGTCTCGAAACTACCGATTGAGCTGGTGTTCTTGGTGTTCAAACACCTCTAGGCGATGCACTATTTGCAAAGCGAAGATGAGTTGTTGGCCATTCACAGACGGCTTTATCAGAGTGGGAATTCGAAGATTGAGCTGAAGATGTTTGCTGTATAATTCAAGATACAGTGGATCGAATCGCCGTTTTCGAGGTGGGCCTGCTTCCATGCCCCCCCCCCCCGGCTTTTCCAAGATGGATAGCCCACTTGATCAATGTAATAGCGCGATAAAACGAGACTACTCACTTCGCACGCTTTTAAAGACTAGTTGCACTGGCTAAGCACCTTACCTTGATGTGTCGACACCACTCACGAGGCTCAAATGTGTTTGCGCTGAGCAGAAAGCCAGACCGCGAGCTCCAAGATCGGTTTCGATATCTCACCAAGGGTGGACGCAGCAGTTTGATACAGCCTCATAAACATGACCTCGGCTTTCTTCTAGATGGACCCTCTAAACCTCACATTGCGTATGTGTACCAAAGAGGCGCCCCACCGCGCATTCCAGACCCAGATAAAAAAGCAGAAAAAATACAATGAAAGCGCAGTAAACACCGGATGGAGCGCAGCGCAGTCCGTGGGAAGGTGGTGTGTTGACATGGAAGCATACACGTGCCCGTGTCGCTCCTGGTACAAATACCAGAATTGTGTGCATGTGCTAGTAGCGCTTAAGGCGATAGACCACAATTTCCCAGGTATGCCTGCAGCCAAGGAGCGATTCGTCAACAGGTGCAGAAAACGTAAGGGGCGGAATGACGCTGTTGGTCCTGTGCTTTCGGCTGAGTAGCCGACGATAACACTCAAGTAAGGCAATGTCCGGTTGTCAAAGAAGTACTACTGTAGTACAGTGTTTCAGGATCGCTACGTTTAACGGATGCATTACATTTGATTTTCTTGTTAGCGTCAATGATAAGTGCCGGTATACCATATAAAAAGCTATCCATCTTCGTATTAATAATGGAGTAGCTTCCAAAGATGATAATGTCGCTGTGTCGTCCTGGGAATCGCTCTTGTCCGTTGGGGACAGCTCTTCATTGTATCGAATTTGCGCGAGCCTGACGGCTTCATCATGCCGCTACTGCTGGATATGATAGTGTCGCTCTTTAAGACGCTGAGCTCCTACTCGCTCTAAGCGACCGTAAGTGGAAAGACAGAACACCGGCCGTCGGGCCTGCCCTTGCGCATGAGTAGCTTTGAACAATATTAAAACATTGTTCTTTGTATTTTACGCAAATTTGAGACTGTCTTGAAATTTGTCATATTTGTTACTAGCGCGCTTACGCTTCTTACTCGTACTCGCTGAAGCAGCTTTGATCACCGTGCTCATTTTCAAAGGCGAAGATTGCGACAGCTCGTCACGACAAACCTTCAAATTATTGTACAGTTCAAGCATTTCTGCGGCAGTCGCGGCGCTGCGAACGTTCGTTTGAGGAGTTCCGAATCCAAAAATGAACAGATATCAGTCTCCGGGTCGCGAACACACATCTCCAGAAGCTCGACTTCATCGTGAGGAT